ATTACCCGACCTGAAGCTTATCAGTCTGCCGATAAGGGCCCTTGCCTTTGCGATACGGTCCTCAATTCTTTTTCTCCAGGCTGGGATGGCGCTACTTTGTTTAGTAGCGCGTCCAGCCAGGGGAAGTCTGGCGCCAATAATACGGCAAGCTGCCACTGCGGCGCCAAAAAGAACTGAGTCCGTCTCGCAAAGGTCCCGGCTGGCTTCCAAATAGGTTACCAGCATTGGGTTAAGAGCCCTCACGACAGCCCGATTTCGCTTGCTTAGGGGTATGCGGGGAAGTCGCGGTCGATTTTCGAGAGGCATGCTGCGCGTTTCCAAAATCGCCTCTTCCAGTATACTCTTCATTTGCTCTAGTTCGTGGGAGACCATTTCATCATCGTCGGAATCAACCACAACTGGAAGATCCATGGCGGCTTCTACGCGTGGCAGCTGGTCTGTCGCCTGAGGAGCCGCATCCCCAGCCGTAGCCAATTCATTCGATGAGGGAATGGCCTCACGCCGTAGTCGTTCGAGCTCGGCATCATCAAATATTTTCGAGCGCATGATGTACCGAACTCGGTCTGCCAGGTTTTGTTCCGTGACGGGAATAGACGGCTCCAGCTCAGCAAAAAAGCAATGCATCCGAGCCCGATACGCTATCCCCGCAGTTTCTTCCCCTTTCGCCCTATAGTACGCCCGCAATGCGTTTGCGTTCATATCTCTTGTCCAACGCATGCGGCGCACTCCACCAGCGGCGGATGCCGCTTGCCGAGTCCGAGAGGACCCTGCCGACATCAAGCCGTCTGGTGGGGATGATGGATGCGGGGGGCTGCTAGGTGATCTTGCAGCTCCTCGCGCTCGGCTGGCGGCCCGCATGCTGCCGCGTCCAGCGCCAGCTCCAGACGCGCCCCGGCGACCCCCAGGCAGCGGCCCTATACGTTTTCTAATCATATCCATCATCCATTTTTGGGCGCCAATTAACGGGAGACGCCCAGGCCCGGCACAGTTTCATTGCATCATTGTACGGCCGTAAGCACAAACGGGCCTTTGCACCCTGAGTACTGCCGAGGCACGGCGCTCACACCTCTTGGCAAGGCGCTGACTGACTGCACCGACGTAGCAGTTTTGTCACTTAACTGTTTCGTCAGCGGGCGATGGGGTCGTCACTTCCCTACGCCTATTATTATTATTATATTATTATTGTTGGGGTATCTGTATAGTTTTCTCATCTGGTTGGTTTTTATAAATATAAATTAAAATGAAAAGATAAATATACATAAATATCAATAAAATAAAATAAATACAAAAAATATACAAATAAATAAAGATCCACCATATTAAATAAAAAATAGTCTCCTATCTTTCTCTCTATGTTTTGATCTCCTAAAACGAGTTTGAGTTGGTAAAATCAAGGTAAACTTAGGGTAAGGTTGTCAATTATTATTTTGATAATAAAACTAGTGAAATTCCGCGGTTTTATATGCGCAAGCGTGAACGTAGTTAGAACATAATATAACCTTTATATTTTACATAAATATCCTAAAAAACTTATTATTTTAATATTTTACTAAGTACCTATAAAATTAACAAGTTTATTGCATTTTTATTTGAGTAATTTTTTATGCAATTTCTTTATCTACGTCTATTTTTAGGAACCTTTATTTAGTCTGAATCATACATAACACTATATTACTGATTTACTTACTTATACGTAGTTTTTTTTTTTGCAGTTACAAATATCTTGTGAGGTTGAAAAAGGTAGTAATGAAAAAATAATAAGAATAATAATAATTGACGTCAACAACCACTTTTCATAAAATTCGATCATGGTCCATTAGGTTGCAGCTTCACCGAACCACAACTTATAATAATAATAATAACAATAATAATATAATATTATTTTGTATTTATTTTATTTTATTGATATTAATGTATATTTATCTTTTCATTTTAATTTATAATTTTTATATATTTAAATATTTATATAACCGAACCAGATGAGAAAATTATACGGCTCCAACGATTTTAGCGACGAACGCTTGGATTTATTTTTAGAAAATGTCCTTTTGTCCATGTTTTCAGGCAATAAAAAAACTGCTACAATATAAGAAGGTAAATTTCGACTAATCATTAACGGTCGTTATAGCTCAGGTGGTATGTCGGTCGGGCGTGATATCGGAGTTCCGTGGTTCGCGTCTTGGCTTTGGTCCCGCTTTTTTTTCCTTTTTTTTCAAGTTCCCTTCTTTTGTGAGAAAATCTATTATTTCAAACCCTTTTTTTTAGTAATTTTTAAAAATACGAAAATTTTAATTTTAAAAATTAAAAAAAAATATCTATTTAGTTACTAATGCTATATTTATTATTTTAATAATTACCTACCCAGTAGGTAAATATTAAAATAATAAATGTAGCATTATAAACAGTAAATCTCCCTCAAACTCAATTTACTAATATTGTTCCTAAATAAGGAATAGCAGATAAAAGATTAGTAGGTAATAACTATTGCTCCTCAAAATTATATTTGACCTCAAGGTAAAACATATCCTAAAATTCAGTAGCTAAATAAAATAATAATAACTACTATTCAAGTATATTTTCAATATGTAAGTAAATGAAAATAACAAAAATGAAGCACCATTAGCATGTAAAGTTCGAATCCATAATTAATATTTCGACAAATATTATAATTTACACTATAAAAAGCTAATTCAATATTAGCAGTATAGTATATAGTTAAAAATAATCAAAATAGTCATTTTTATTAATTAGATAATATATTAGAATACATAATTCTAATATAATGCAACTAATATACCGAATAAAGAAAATTAAAATACATTTATCATTGTACGCCGTGTCTATTTACATAGGTGGCGTCTTTTGGCGATTTCTTACGCGATATATTGTAGCGAGCGTCGACAGACCAAACGCTCAAGGTCGTTCGCTGGAGGTAGCGCCTTAATAGAGCGTGCCATTTGAACTTAAAGACAATTAATTGGACAATAAATAATAAGTGACAAATCTTGCCGTGGAGCGTGGAACTGAGTAGTTGCGCGTCTTGTTAATATAATTGCCGTACGGCCGCCCTGACGTATGTACTGCGCGAAGCTGAATTTTTTGCGACGCGGTCCGGTGATACAGTATTTTTCACAAATAGTGAGTTCGTTATAACGCGGGTTCGGTTAAATCTGGTTGAATTTAATTGGATTAACCTAAGTAACTTGAATTAATATCAAATAAAAAGAAATACTGCATAAATAAAATAAATAAATAATTATAATTGCATAAGTTGATACAAAATGCTATGCAATAGCTTTACCGCGGCAGTCCCCGAGTGCCACACGTCTTTTTTTTGTGATTAGTTTAAGTCAAATTAACTTTAAGTAACTTTCAATCGTTAAACTTATTCCATTCAACATTGCTTCAAACTTTTCTCATTATTATTAACTCTATCGATAGAGTTTTTGTGCAAAAGGCAGCACATAATAATATGTTGTGAAATTACCGTTCTGCAGTACTGGGCATTTCACGTCAAAATAGTTTTTGTTTGACTAAAAATTCTACTTTCAAATAAATGTTACTTTAAAAACATAGAATTCTCTTTTCAAAGTTAGTTATTCGTTTATTGATTAGCGTTATGTTTTTATCGTGTATGAATCTTTTTCGTCATCATGGATACGTTAAAAATTCGATTAATTATGGAACCTTCGTGGCAGCAACGCGGGACATGCAGGACGCAAATCAACAACGCTTACGGAGCAAATTTAAACGAACGCACCATCTGTTATTAGTTTGTCTGTTTCCGTTCTGAAAAGTTCGGCCTGAAAAATAAACGTCCGAAAACTTTGGTCGACAATGACGAATTAAAGGTGATTGTGGAAACTGATGCTACTCAATTTACGGCTAAATTAGCAGCATCTTTCGACGTTAGCATGAAAACAATGTTGGTCCATTCGCGACAAATTGGTTGAGACGTGGCTTGCACTGCGTAACAGGCACACTAACGAAGGAATTTTGAATTGTATTGTTACCTGTGACGAAAAATGGATTCTGTTTGACAATCGCAAGCGCTTAGCAAGAACTTTACCCTAGAAAAGTGATGGTCACTGTTTGGCGGTCTAGCGTTGGCGTAATTCACCACAGCTTCTTACCAATGATGAGCGTTATTGCAAATGTGCAATGTGAAGAACGGAACACAATGATGGACAAGCTCGCAGGTCTTCAACCAGCTTTGGTCAATCACTCGTCCCTGCTGCTCTTGCATGACAATACTTTGGGGGTATTGATTTTTAAGCACAAATTACCTTTGAAGATTTTGTTGCCTCTCGTCCAGCTGATTTCGTCAAGAAGGGCATCAATAAACTGCCACCGCTTTTCATTGATGCATCGATTGCATAGATGATTGGTTTAATTTATAGAAATAAAAAATGTAGAAAACTAAATTACGTTTATGAAATAAGTTCATCAAAAACGGCAATTTCATAATATATAAAGGCCTTATATTTAGATAATTTAAATAAATACTTTGCTTAACCCTTATATGAACAGAACTGTATATTCTATAACAAATAAATTAAAATTTTTGAATTCGTTACGTTCACGTTAGTCCACCGATAATTACTTTCACGAAATTTCAACATTTAGCCGATTTTAAATTTATATATTACGAGCCAATGTGTCAGTGCACTCTAATAGAGCTTTTGTTTATTGGGCATTATTTAACAATTATAATTGATAAATAATGTCCAATAAAAAAGAACAGTGATCATAACGCACTCACCAGAAACGGTTGTATTTTAATTACATCAGTATCATCATCAATCTATCATCTTTACCACCAAATTGTCAACTATAATCAGTAAAAGTAACACACTTAATTTATTTATTTCAGGCTGGATTTGAATCAGTGATCCAGAGATATAGGTCACTATATCTTAACAAAAATGTCCATATAGAAGTTCTAACTGGACTTATCATTAACCAGGAACATGTTTTATGCGCGCTTTTCTTTTTTCCAGGATTTGAATGGATATCACGAGAATATAATCGTGGCTCTAAAGACAGCAGCTGCTCAACGTGCCAGTGCTGGCGCTTCAGTTGGCTCTGGAGACTTAAGAGCTCTTCAGGAGTACGAATATAAACGCGAAAGAGCGCCAAGCGCTGAAAAAATCCACGAGACAGAGCTAAGGCGACAACGTGGCGCCGATGAAGAGGAAGACGAAGCCCCACAGTGCGGGCCAATAAGGATCAGGAACTTGGAAGACTTGATCAGGCAATTGGAGCACCACTCCAGTCGGCACATGAGTCCGTCAGGGTCGGAGGATATAAGAATGTCGGAGACGGAAGCTGATAGGCATTACAGAATTGAACCAGGGGAGGTGCCACCGTGAGTATATTATTTTATTTAACTGTAATGTTACAACCTTTTGTTTTAATTGAGGTGATAAACGAACTTAAAGCCTACCTGATGGTAGGTAAAGAAAACATCAAGAGCAAGCCTGCATGTCTGTGTGTTGTCTTTTTTGTTTAAAATTGCTTGCAGTTGCGCTTGGGCTGTTGTAGTTACTTATATTAACATCATTTGAACTTAGTTGCCTGGTAACTTCAATCCGATGAAAAAAACGTAACTGTTTATATCATGCACAATAAATTTAAACTTGCTGTAACAAAGATAAGGCTCCGTAAAATTAGTGGTTAATTTTTGGTTACTTAGATATTTTATACGTGGTAGAGGTTTGCCGCAGCTATAATATAGTTGTACGAATATTTTGCCAAGACCGGGGAAGGACCACGTTCTCACAGAATACCAGCGTAAAATAGCAGCTTAATGCTGCTGTGTTTCATATGGTGAGTGTAGAGAACCGGAGACCCGTTTTACTGGAATCGAGGCATTCCTTCTTAGTCCTCAGGGGTGACAACGCATTTGTATTTTATTTCTTAACCGAGGTTAAAGGTAGATGTCTATGAGCCACAGCATCCACTTACCATCGGGTGGACTGTGTGCTCGTTTGTCACCCTTATTCTATAAAAAATCTATTTAGATGCCCTGTAATATAAATAATTTGTCTTTGCATAAATTCAAAGCGCATAATACGAGTACATAAAAAGCAACTTTGTGAAGAAATGATAAAAAGAAACTTCTGTTATCGTTACTGCCTATCAAAGTCCATGCTCTACATGGGTCTTCTCCATAGATTGCCTCATAGAGCGAATGTTGGCCATAGTTTCATGCTTGGCAAGCGGGTTGGCATTCTCATTTTCTTATTTTTAGTCGTGATTAGGATGTCGCTGCTGCCCATATACTAATTAATTTCTCTCAGTCGCTTGTTACGACACCCTCAAAATGATATGGGGTAGTGGATATTCTTACGTCGCCTCTTCACGGTAAAATAAACTTCCATAATTATTTATAGATAAAATGCATAGACGCAGAGTACTTCTTTTGATCCATTTTGCTTATAAAGTGTATTTTTTATAAAATCGTAACTTTCTGGAGAAAACAACGTCGGCTAACGAAATTCTCCCGCTTATTTTCATAAGGTCAATCGTAGCTATTTGCAAATTTTAAGTAAAACATTTTGACTCTAACTTTAATAATAATATATAAATTACTTCGCAACCTTCCGCTAACTAAATACAATGATGTGTCTTACCTGGATTGAAGAGCACCTCCCGCCCTCCCTCAATTGCATGCACTAAATCCGTCACCATTAGTCCCAGCACCACTAATGACTAATGGTGACGGAGTTAGTGCACGCAATTGAGGGAGGGTGGGAGGTGCTCTTCAATCCAGGTAAGACACATCATTGTATTTAGTTAGCGGAAGGTTGCGAAGTAATTTATATATTATTATAATGGATTTCCGCAAAGTAACGCCTAATTCTATCAATTATATAACTTTGATTATTTCAGGCGCTGCCGCGGCCGTATCTCGGGTGAGGAGGAGTCCCGATTCGCTTACCCGCGGTACCGGGGCAGCGCGCGGCACCACCCCGGCATGTTCGCGGGCGGGCCGGCGGGCGCGGGGGGGCGCGCTGCTGCACGCCGCGCATGCGGGGCTCGCGCCGCACGCGCCGCACGCACCTCACGTGTCACACGCGCAGCACTCGCGCGTCCCACCCGACGACGACGCCCTCTACGAGACGGCCGACGCGGAGAGACTTCGAGATGCGCCCGACAGCGAAAGGTAAGACTAACTCGTCATTGCATTACTACATTCATTATACGGGTGGATTCAACCAAATACCATGTAATACCAGAGTAAAAGACATGTGTCGATCGATAATTTCTAGAAATCCGATCGTTCAAGTATTGATTCGTCTTACTAACCAATTCATTCTGTTCATTCATTCAAATGGATCATTTCTGTCTATGTAGAAAAAGCCCATGCGTGAATTTACAATTTGTGGTCTTGTCATTCGTTTGATCCGGATCGTTCAATAAATATCTACAGAGTAACTAGCCTTCGAATAATGTTACTCTTTGGTTTCGACCAAATACCATGTTATACCAGTGTTACTAACAATCTAATAATTTTACTCTTTCAGATTTCACAAACGTAGAGAATCCAATCTCAGTATTGGCTAATCTACGAGTACTATTGTTACTCTATATTTGGTGAATGAATGATAAATGAACATGTAAGCCAACTAAAATTGAAATACAGTTTACTACAATGTTTTATGACCAAATAATTTTCCGGATTATAAGAGTTTCAACTCTCACTAAACATTCAAATATTCACACTAGTTGCCAGTTATATAAGTTTGTATGTTTTTGTTGTTGTGTTGCATGTAATTGAACTATAAAATTCAATTTACTATTACAATTTACTATCCTAATTTTTCAACAAATCATACAAAACATCTAGTAAAATGTAGCGGCCCCCATTAAAATAACTGGGATATTTGGTTTACTCCGTGAACTTTTGGGTTATAACTATTTACTCTCGGTTAGACAGTTATTCCTGAATTAAGGTTTAGTAAAACTAAAAGTGCTCTAAATCTAGAGTAATTAGTGATTTTATTCGCAGTACAAGACATAAAAATTTGGTTTAATCCGTCCTTAGTAAGATATATTTAAACGTCGTTTATATTTTGTTGTAGTTTTGTTTTGTTTACTATTTGTTTGTCCTTTTAGCCACTATGGTTTTTGAAAAGTTTCTCACTTGAAAGTTATTTTCTTTTAAGTAGAAAACCTAATTTGTATCGTTTTATTAAAATATTGTATAAAACAGTATGTTATATTCGCATAATATTGTAATTTATCTATTTGAAACAACTGCAATCTGCTTCTCTTGGTTGTAGCCGGCTAACCCTAGGTCTATCCGCACAAATACAAAAAAAATCACTATATATATGGCTGCAGCACAAATGGGCCGGCTTGTCCGGGTTAGAAACATGCTCTCACAGAATACCATCGTGAATCAGCAGAATAATACGGTGTTTCGTGCGGTAAGTGTAGTAGAGAATCGGATATTAGTTTTACTAGTAACGAGACATTCAATCTTAGTTAGCAAGGGTGACAACGCATCTGTATTTTGATCCTTAATCGTGCACGCCTGTCATCCTTATTTTATAAGAAATAAGACTTATATGACTCTATTAATGTAGTTAAAATATAGTGAGACAGTATTTTGCAGTCTTCAAGTTTCATCTTACCGTCGTCGGTCTGAATATTTTTAATATCTTATAGATGTAATATTCTATATGTAATATTCTAATAGATGCTATTGTGTAAATTTTATGTCATTTCCCTAAATTCATTTTAAGACATCTACTAGATGAACTCATGGATGAATTGTATTACGTCGTCGTCACACTACCGGCTGTGTACCATACATAGCTATTTTTTTCTGTTTTCTTCACCAGCCTGTAAAAGTCTACTGCTGTCATCAAATTCTCTAATAATTTTATGTACAATACTACATATAAATAACTTTCTATGACACTTTGATTACAGCAACATCACACTAACAATATCTAGTAATTAGCGGGCTCAAAGGTCTTATTAGTCCTTTCTAATACAAAATTATCTTTAGCCTACTCACAAAAAATAATATTGGATTAAATTCCTAAATTTGTTATAATAAAAAGATCGTGATTCTATCAGTTAATATTTATAAATATTGGCAATAATCTCTTTTTGCTACTGACAAAACCAATAACAAATCAAATCAATTGGCGTTCAAGACACAAGAGCTCGAACGTTCGCAAAACGTCCGGCTCGAAGGACCATAGACCCGGAGCCCGCGTGCGGCGTGCCCGGACTCTCCGTTCCTCTTCTCTGTCATTTTCTAGTGATGAATTTATTCAAGCTCAACAACAGTTAGCCCGGTGGGCGAGTGAAGACGTGGTGCCGGCGCGCGAGTACCTGCCGTCGCCGAGCGACAGCGACGTGCCCGCCGCCTTCCCCGAGTACAAGCACTGACCCGCCGCGCCCCGCCCCTGCCGCCCCCCACCCCGCCCGAACGGTCGTCTGTAAATATAATGCACATGTATAAACGACCTGACTGAAACTATATTATTGATGAATCTAGCGTTAAACGCGACCCGAGCCGCCCGGGGCCGCGTCGCGTTCGAACGTTTATATTCGTTCCATGAAATCGATGCGCTTTACTCTTATATATTATGTTCGGCGGGGCCCCGGCGACACGGCCCCGAGAATCTAAACTAGGTTTAAGGGAACTCGTCGCTCTCTGGATGCAGCGTGAGTGTTGTGCGGTGACGGTCCGGCGCGTCGAGCTCCCACCGGCAACTTCGAACAGCTCAAGTAGCTTGCAATTTAGATAGGCGATTAACAAATTGAGCTAACATAACCGTAAGCGAAGCTTTAATGTATCATGTCTTAGTTTTGGGTGACGGCAGCGTTCGAGCTCGACGGCGTTCCGGACCTGTGAGAGTTTTACAATTCAGTTGTAAGTTTCCGAACGTTCGTGACGAAGCGGAGGATCGACAGAAGGCGGGCGACATAGTAACCGTCCCCGGAGAGTCCAAACAGTCGCTTTCATCCCGCATCACCTCTCCGAAAAGAAAGAAAGTCACGCTCAACTTCGCAACACGCCGTTCCCCATGCATTTGAGGGTAAACGTGACACCAAAGTAAGTGGATCGTTCGTGGTCTTTGCGTTTACGTCGAAAACAATATAATAATTGTAACTCTAGTTTTGAAATTTCTCGAATTAGCTCTCGCACCACCGTGCACTAGTAACTTTTTATATCTAGCCCATAACGTACACATGTTCTAAATAGATTCATTATTGTGAATAATGGTTATTTCGATTATATCAAAATATGTATATGTCATATGATACTTATGATTGTATTGACTCTTAAAACGAATTTATGCATATAAACTGGCGAGAAGAGAGGGAGAGGACGAGCTGTTATAGTTTTTCCGTTTCATTTTATTGGACGATTTAGGACGTTATTGTTTCCATTCGGGTTTACGCTAGGCTAGGTGGCACTGCCACGGCTATTAAACGTAGTTTAATTAACAGTTAACCTATTGACTAGTGAACGTAATCCAGCCACATAAGGCTGTTACCGAAGTGCGTTGTCGCGGCCGACAGTCTCGGTTGAAATAAATTAATCCCATAGATACTCGTTACGCTATAATTAAGAATTAAATAGTTTCTATTAACGCGTACAGGGTAGACCTAACTGCAATACTCTGTGGCTGGGTGCGGCGCTCTGCGGCGCCATAATGGGTTCGAATTCGCAAAAGCAACGGACACTGCCTATGATGTTTTAATAGAGAAGTGTATACATTTTGATGTAAATTAAAAATAAACGTTGTCCTTCACCTTTGCTTTCATAGTTTCTTTTAGTTCTCGCGACGTATTACCACTTAGTTTTACTTACTTATGAGTAGTTAGTTTCACAAAATACTTTGAAATTAACCAGTCACAAAACACCAAATTTTTGATGTAGATATATATTACAATACATGTGCTATAATTAATGTGAGTATAAACGTCTAAGATGTATTGGCGTAGAAATGAATAAAATATATTATTTAGTAATGTATAAAACTATGAAATGACTCAAATGCGGTTTTAATTAAGAAAGGGACAACTACTAGTTAATAATGGGACCCGCATCGCATAAACTATAACGACACTAACGGCGCAATTAAATATCAAAAATTAAATCAATGTCGTTCAAAATGTTTGAACTTTAAATAATAATTTGCATATACGTTAGTGGAGCGCTGACACCCAGGTGGCGTCGCGTATGCGCGTTTTGAACCACCGAACATGTCTGTGCGGTCGTAGGCCCGTATTATGAGGGTCATTAGGGTGATATTTCGAATTCAACTGCACAGGTATGATTGTACGTAGGCCTAACACGTCAATTGCGGACGGCGCCATTGCTCACGGCTGTGTTCCGAAAGACTACCGCGAGATTCGCAAAGGGATTTTAGGCGAAGAACTCACCCTTTTTCGCGTTTCGCTGTAGGTTGGCTTCTGACGCGGATGATCGTGGCCGAGGGCCTCTGTCTCGTTACACGAGTCAGCTATAAAGACTTTGCATGTGTGCGTCGCCTTGTTACAGTTTGTACATGTGTGGAGCAAGAAGTGTTTTGTAAAATAGTCCCATAAGAGATGTTAAACTAAGTTTGAGTGTTTGGTATATTTGGAGAGACAATGCTCTTTGTATTATGCTCTACAGAACTTGCGTGTTCGTTCTGTATTGAATTTAATTACATAAACACGGTTTGTCGTTTTATATTATTCAATATACTGTTTTTTGACATTATTGCATTTGATTTTTTTAAATAGACGCTTTTTGTGAATAATTTAGAAATTTTATGTACTTTAATTATTTTTTTATAAGAAAGAAGTGATTAAAATAGCAAAGTTAAGATATAATTTCATAAGTTGTTATAACAAATAATTGTAATCTTTAAGTATTGCATTATTTGTATTAGTCAACTGCAGGAAAAGAACTTGCCTACAGTACATCCCTACTGTGGGTAGTACAATAATATCGAATTTTGTACTAGTCATCCCGCATCTTCACTGCTGGTCCCCGTTTCTAGACTGGGTATTTTACATTTAATATTTTACAATATATATATATATATATATATATATTAGGATGGTAATACCGCCATCTGTCGAAAGCCATAATTTTCTTTGTGGCTTTTCACATCGTCGCCTCTTACGACGCCCACGGGAAAATACGTGTGGATGTTCATTTTACAGCACCAACACATGGCATTACTAATCTATATGTTGACCACATTTATTCGGCTATTAGTTAAATTCATTTTGCGTACAATTTAAAAGTGATATTCACTTAAAGTAAATGTTAATTTACCTAAAATTTATGGAGAATATTCTGACAGTTAAATATGTACTTTGTAATTTAAATAACAATTGTTATTAAATTTTATTTTATTTATCGTTAAGGTAAAATTGTTTATATTGTAAATGTAATAATTTAGACATTACTAAAAGTACATTTGTATCGAAAACCTGTATATATAATATACTTTAAATAGTTAGATATAATATGTATATTGTTATTACTTGTTTTATTAAACAGAAATAAATTAAACAGAGTTCAGTTTTCGTTATAAGTGAAATTGTTACTGAGTATTAAGAAAATGCACTAATGTGGTAACTTCAGTGATTTGTTTTGAAAAGACTATATTGTAACATCAATAAAGTGTTTAAATCTTTCGGATGGGGTACGATAGAAGTGTTGCTCAAATAAAAAATGTATCGGCTACGAGCATCCGCGATCACCGAACACGCCGAATTAACTAAATTAGAAAAATTAATGTTAAGCGATATTATGTAATATAAAATACGAATTTTAAACGAAGAAAAAAAAACGTTGACCCGTTGTGGTAAATTTCCGTTTTTAATTTGGTCCTTGTAAATATATTTAATATATGATTTACTAAATGAATGTAACATATTATTAATGAAAGAATATAGATGAACACAAATTTTATGTTTTGTCTCATTTGCTCAGCAACTGTCCCAATTATACAAGGTTATTTTTCAAAGAGTAGCCAATATTTAAACTTAAGTGCAAATATATAAATAATGATAAACCGTTATTGCAAAATTTGAAAATAAGCGTCAATAAGGTTTTTATTTTCTTTGAAATTATCCCAAATTGTTTTACCTACCGATTGACCCTTACGAATGTGTGAGTGCGCAGTAAAATCAATTAAATCAATGCTTTACTACGCATTTTGAATTAAAAAGAACGGAATGTTTGAGATTTTCTTAAATTATTTTTCATAATAAATATATATATAACTTTTTTGACCCTTCTTTGCAAATTTGGCCGGTTATTGCAAAATAACCCTGTGTTAGAGATTTTCAGGTCGGGAAGTGTTGCGGTTGCCCCCTCGTCTCCGATGTTTTACTCTAACCGTACAAGGTACTAGCGTACAAGGTACTAGCTGCGGACCTATTCACTAACTTTGTTGACCTCAAGATGATAATCAATTTTATAATTTCTTTGTAGTACTAGTTTTAATACGTGGCGGAGTCATGCTGGTATATTATGGTTGTAGCACGAATGAGTCGGCTCTACCGGGGAAGGACCACGCTCTCACAGAATATCAGCGTAAAAATAGCAGCTTGATACTGTTGTATTCCGTATGGTGATTGTAGAGAACCGGGGAATAAAGCCCGTTGGTTCAGCAGACGTTGTTGTGCCCTTTTCGGCAGATGGCGCGACGAGTTTTTACAGTTTTAATTTATATACCGGCCACAGTGCCACCTGTTAGGTCCAGTTTTTGTGGTATCTTTTCGCGAATACTTGCAACAGTAACGTCATAGCTTCTGTTTGATTAAAACTGGTTCGCTTCTGGACAGCTTCGTGGCGCAGTGGCTTAACAATTAACTGCGGCGCTGACGGCCACGAGTTTGAATCCCGTACGAAACAAGATTTTGTATGCCTACAAATAATTTTTCCTTTTGAATATTTGTCCTTGTGAATATGTATGTTAACTGCTTTCACGATGCGGGAGAAAATCCTAATGTAGAAATAATATTTTTTAAGCTTAACAGTGGTAGAGCCATGCGGCAGCTTTTGCTGTTGCACGTATACGCCAGCTCGAACCGGAGTGGTGCTACGACCTCCCAGAAAACCGATTTGAAGTGGAAGCTCTGCTTCAGCGTTTCGTCTGGTGAGTGCAGGTGGCCGGAAACCCTATACCCCCATCCATCAACATGGTAGCTGAATTAAATGTTAGACTACCCCAGGAGGGTACCAGCACCCCTGAAGAATCCCTCTCGCTAAGCATTCACGACTTAGCTACTCCACTTCTGATCGTGGGTGCTGAGGGTGCGCTGCGTATTTAGGGGGGGGACAAGCTGAGCAACAAGACCAGGGCGACCCCTGCCACCTCCACCCTATCCGTGAATTTTTGCAATATGAGGGGACTTCAGCGTTTCGTCTG